ATTATTATTATTATTATTATTATTATTATTACTGTGGCTCATGTGAGCTCTAGTATGTGGCTAACAATCACAGAGGGCAATTTCACTGAGTTGGCTCTGTGTGTTTGTGTGTGGTGTCTTACAAGAGCGCATATGTACAATTCCTATATACATAAAAAAGTAAGGCAGTCATTGCTCAGCCTCTGTTGGAGGATTTGTTGTGCCACATAACAATCCTGGATTTGCATGCTGCACAAGAGGAGGGAAGGAGGCAGAGGCATGGGGTTTAAAATGGGCACAAAGTGGGTCTGCAGAATGGAAGAAGGAAGTATCTTCAGAAATGGGGTTGAGATGGTGAAAAATGAGGTTACTGGAGTGGGAAGGGGAAGCTCTAGCATCTAGAGGGTTAATATGGGGTGAGTGGAAGGGGGTTGATGAGTGAAGCCCCAAGTTTTTTTGGGGAGGGAGAGAGAAATGGAGAAAGGCATGGAGAAAGTTGAAGAACTAACAGCCATGGTAAAATCTGTGTGAAATTGCAGTCAAACATAATTGTGCATGACTGCTGGTTAGTGCATGAAGGGGTTAAGATCACAGAGTTAGATCCCTAGACTCAGCTAGGTCATGCCCCTTCTACTCTGATGATGGAGGAAGTGAAGCCTCCTCTTCCTGTTCCTTCTCTCTCCATGTCATGTAACTGACCGAGAAAGATGTGCCTAAGCAAACTTCAAGCTTAGAGCACATGTTTGAAGCTATCTTTCTGATTGAGTTCTCTTTGCTGCTGCTTGGATAAATGCATGAATCTGACCTTTGGAATGTTTTGTAAGTAAATTGTTTTAAGCTTACTTAACAGTGTGTGGTTTGTTCATTGCAAGAGAGGTAGAAAGAGGGGAGTGCTTTATGTAACTAAATGTCATAGAACAACCTATATTCCTAACACGATACTGTTGCTTGAATTTTGTGTGTTTAAATACCGAGGGCTTTAGCCCTGCATTTTGAATTCAGTTACCCATCAGTTCTTTTGCTATTTACCCCACACACGTGGGTCACAGGGATTCTACTTTCTGCCTCCACAAAATTTTGACAGCAGAACATTTGGAACATAAAGAAAAATAGATGAGTGCCAAATTCATTCCTATTGCATCAGTTCCACTTCAGGAATAAAGCAGTTTGGAAACCTAAAATCTAGGAGAGAAATCAGAATAAGGAGAATTTCAGAAGAATCTCTGTTCTGGGCTACAAAAGAGATGAAACTGAGCTGGGGTGGCAGGGATAGAACGTCAAGGGCACAGAGGGCACCCAAAAGGCCCCGGTCATTCCTGTGGCTGGCAAAGGAGCCTTTACTCAACAGCAGGCCTGGAGGCCAGCACCAGACATGTGAGAAGCACATGCATGCGCACGCACCCACAGAGACTGCAGAGAAACTGTGAGTGACAAGGAGATAGCCTACGTGAACAGAAAAACAGGCAGCAGGCAAGAGCAGGGGAGCGAGCAGAGGGCAAGGGCAGGAAAGGGCAGCCCAGAGGCTTTCTCTGCCATCCCCAGAGCCCTGTCTGCTGCTGCAGCAGCAGCAGCTCCCAATGTTCAAGCCCGCCTGCTCTCCAATGTCTCAGGCTCAGGATGCTTTCTATGATTGACCCCAATTATAGAAGTCAGGCCATGTGGGGCTTGGAGCACTGTTCAGATCAGCCAGGCAGCTGTTCAGTCCCTGGGAATTTGGCTGTCCAAATGCACGGACAGGAAAGGGCATTGCATGCAAAGAGGTTGGTGGGGGAGGGGAAAGGCACAGAGTCTCGGTGGGAAAGCAAGTAGGGTGGGCAGTTGGAGGGAGGGGCTATGCCTGCATTTTGCAGAAAAAAAACACCCTTCTGGGTTTTATTTGCTTTTGAAAAATTGTGCACAGGTCCAAAAATTATAGGTGCATGATAATACAGAATGCACAGGTGATGTTCGTTTCCACACTCTTACACACACAGGCGTTTGCCTTGCATGATGGCTGTATGTCTCTGCTATGCCTACATGTCTTGGTCACAACTCAGTATGACCAAGGGATGGGTGGGGCTTGTCTCTCTGTGCCTGCCCCTTCCCTTGGCTGCCACAGCAGAGATGCTGGCAGCAGCATTTTGGCTAAGGCATGATGGGGTGGAGCAAGCAGACACTGGAGATCACAGAAGTGGCTGTTGCTACAGTAAGTGGCTGTCACTTCCTTCCCTGGACTGACAGCTCCAGCAAGCAACAAGCAGCCGCAGAGCACCTCTATGGCACTCTTGTGTTAACAAGAAAGTATTCATGCCCAGAAGCACCAAGAGCTAGGATGTGGAGTGACTTAACTGCCCCATAACCTGCCTCCTTGCACCTCTCAGAAAACGACCTGGCAGTCCTAGGTACCTGGAATCCCTTCAGTCTGCTCCATTATTTTCGCAAGGAACTGGAGGTAAAAAAACAAACAAAAAACCAGGACAGTTTTGCTCCAAAAGGGATAAAGAAAATGCATTTCTTTACTTCATTCTGCTGTTATTAATACCTGATTTGTTCCTATCTGCTGCATTTCACAACTTGTCTCCTGCAATCACCTAAGCTTTGGAAACAATTTTATCTGAGTGGGCAAGGCCCCTTGTAAATAAATTCTGCATTGCACATTATATTTTAAGCAAGTTTGAGACTTTCCTGATAAGATGCTTCCTATAGGAGAGATCATTACCGCATAGATTCCTCCACACTCTACTTATCCACTACCCCCAAGCTGCAATCTTGCACAAGAACACCAACAGACATCCTCCCCCCCCCCAAAAAAAAACCCCTCTCCAGAAGAAATCTAATTTACTTTTTAATCTGGTTCAGAAATTTGCTGGCAAAAAAATTTCAGAGACAAGCACGACCATTTATTACTGTTTATCATAGCGGCTGGATTCACGTTCCCGATCGGGATAATGTAGCCGAGGGTGGGAGGGGGGAGAGGAAAGAAAAATCTTTTGATGCATTATTTATTTGATACAATCTTCCCCCTGATAAAATCAGTAAGCAGAGGACAAAGCAACGACCTTATCCATTTCAGCTGCATAATGTGAAATATACTGTGCATCGACTTTCTCCCTCCATTTTAATTTTATTTGCTTGTTTGGTAGCAGAGCATATATGTGGAGGGGGCATTCAGTGGGTCCCCTGCTCAGTTCACCCTTCCACAAGTGCAAGTTAAGAGGAGGAAGAGCCTGTGATTCCAAGCAACTATAGTCATGCACCAGAGCAGGGGTCAGCAAACAGGGGACCGGTCCACTGTCCCTCAGACCTTGTGGGGGCCGGACTATATTTTCAAAAGAAAAAAAAGAAAAAAAAGAACGAATTCCTATGCCCCACAAATAACCCAGAGATGCATTTTAAATAAAAGCACACATTCTACTCATGTAAAAACACACTGATTCCCGGACCATCCGCAGGCTGGATTTAGAAGGCGATTGGGCCGCATCTGGCCCCTGGGCCTTAGTTTGCCTATCCATGCACTAGAGCACCCATGGCGTCTGAATGATGGAGCACATACCTGGGACTCTGGGGTCAGGTGACCCACTCTGATGTGAGATAAACCTTGCTAACACCCCAAGGTGGTGGGGTCTGAGGCCATAGCTCAGTGGCAGAGCACCTGCTCTGCATGCAGAAGGTCTCAAGTTCAATCCCCAGAATTTCTGATTATGCATCCTTTTCCTTTAAAAAAATGATGGGAGAGCTCCTGGCAGTAAAAACAGATGACGCTTGACTAGGTGGACCAATAATGTGTCGATTGGTGGCTTTAAAGGGGGCTTAGAGAAATTGATGGAGATGCATCTATCAAGGAGTGCTAAGACTATATGAAGTCTCCATGCTCAGAAGCAGTCTACTGTTGAGCACCTTGCTGCTTGGGAGCAAAAGTAAGAGAGGGCTCTTTCCTTCAAGAGTCCTTGCAGGTGTCAGGCTTCACGGAATCCTATCCCTCCCACGGTGGCAGCCAAGAAGCAGAGAAACAAAAGGAGTTCTTACCAAGTAATTTATTCAATATTCACAGAGAGAGACGAAGGAATGCGGTTTCCCAAAAACAATGGTGTTGCTCCATATAAAGTCCCACCCCCCTCAGCCCCTCTTATTCTACGTCACCCCTCTGCCGGCTGATCTGTGCTTTCTGTCTCTGAGCTTTCTGTTCTACTACCCTCAAGGCATGCCTGGTTCTGGGAGGGGGGGTCAGGAATGCTTTCAAGAGCCACTGAGTCTGTTAGCTGTCTCTCCCCTGGTGCTTCTTCTTCCTGCTCCTGCTCTCCTCCCAGTATTTCCCAGCTTCTCCCCTTTGCAGCCTCTGAACTATGCCCTTCTGCAATCCGCTGTTCTAAATCTATACCAGGGGTCAGCAAACTTACAGCGCTTCGGGTCGGTGTCTCCAGTGCCGATCGCATGGCAGGCCGGAGGGCGGGGGAGCGTGTGCCCATATGCATGCGCACACGCTATTTCCGGCGCACTTCCGGGTTGGAGGAGCACTGGAAATAGCTTGTGCGCATGTGCACCGGCCTCCTCCGACCCGGATGTGCACCGGAAATAATACTTGTGCATGCGCACAAGCTATTTCCAGTGCTCCTCTGACCCAGAAGTGGGCAGCCGCGCAGCGCAGCACTGGTAAGAGCGGGTGGCGGCAGCAGGGTCGCCATGGGCCAGATAAACGTATCCCTCAGGCCTTATCCTGCCCACTGGCCTTAGTTTGGGGACCCCTGATCTATACTGTGGTCTCCCAGAAGTGCAGGAGGAGAGGGTGGGCTCCACCATTCCTCCTCTTCAGACCAGTCCCTGACAGTGGGATTCCCTGGGGCAGCACATGGTGAGAAACTAGATTAATTGGATCTCTTACTTGCTTCAGCAGGGATCTTCTTGCTCCAGCTGCACATCACCCACTCAGCTGGGGTGGCAGCAGTAATGGCCATGGAGGTTGTATGGAGATAGCAAACCACCCTGGAGTGGCCTCTCCCTTCCCAATCACTGCTGCTTTGAAGAGCTGGCCAAGATAATCTATCAGCTGTATGGCACAGTGGTTAGTGTGTTGGGCTAGAATCTGGGAGACCAAGGTTCAAATCCCCATTTGGCCCTGAAGCTCAATGGGTGACCTTGGGCCAGTCCCTGCCTCTCAGCCTAACCTGCCTCACAGGGTTTTCGTGAGGATAAAATGTGTATACCACCTGGAGCTCCTTGGATAAAAGAGGGGGATCTGAATATTAAACAAATAAACAACAACAAAAAATCCAATCATGCATCTCCAATCTCACATCAAAATAAATAAATGCAATCTCATGCTATCACAACTTACTCCAAACGGAGGCTATGGCTGCCCAGTGGAGCTCAGACACTGAAGTTTACACAGCAAAACTTTCTCCCTCCCTCTCTTTCTTCCCTTTTCAGAACGATGCCTCCTGCGGGAAGTGTAAATATAGGGAAAAATGACAACATGTGCATTAATGCTCGTTAGAATGTCATCATTATATTCTGCAAAGTGTCTGCTGAGGGGGTCCCTAAAGGGCACTTAGAAGCCAGCAGCTGCTCGACATTTGTTCCAGCTCACATCTCGAAGAAAATGACATTGAGATAAATAGAGGAAAGGAGTGTCTTGTGCGCAAGTGTGGGAGGGGAAGGGAGGGCCTTGATTCTGATGCTGTCCAAGAGGGAGAAAGGATGAAGCCTTCTCCATCTCATAATACATAGGAAGTTTACCTCCGCATCATAATGTATTCTGCTTCTAACGATCAGGTTTTCAGTTAATTTTAACATTTGGAGCCAGAATGCCAGACAAGAAAACATCAGGTTTAGGGGGCAATTGCAATTTTAAAAGGCCCCTTATATTCCTCAGGAGGAGTCCTGCTGGATCAGGCCCATCTAGTCCAGCATCCTGTTCTTACAGTGGCCAGCCAGATGTCTTGATTAAAAGCCTGTAAGCAGGACTTGCGTGCAACAGCACTGCCTCCACCTGAGATTTCCGGCAACTGGTGTTCAGAGGCATACTGTCTCCAACAAATAAAGAGAGGACATAGTCATCATGGCTAGTAGCGGTGCTAGCCTTCTCCTCGATGAATTTGTGTCATCCACTTTTACAGACGTCCAAGTCTGTGGCTCTCATGGCATCTGTGGCTGTGAATTCCAGTCTAACAATAAGAAGGATTGGATCTGTGCATGCAATGGCACAAGGAAGCAAAGCCCATTTCTTCCACGCACTTGGAGGGGAAATGTTTTGTAGGTGGGGAAGCACTGTTTGACTTTTGGGGTACACAGAGGACCCTGCCCAGTCAGATCAAAGGAACACCGCTTACAAACTCATTTCAATAATAATTGCCAGGACTTCCAGGGTTATTAGAATGCGACTTTAAAAAAATAAATAAAACCAAATCGCTTCTCTTGCAAGCTTTTGCAGCAAACCTCCAAAACATTTTTTCCCCCCAAGGCTTGATCTAACTTGATGTTTGTAAAGCTCCTTGGGGAGGTAGGGAGAGAGAGAGCGCAGAGAGAGAGAGAGAGAGAGATTCCCATGCTCAGGAGTTGCCATCTCTGATTGCATCTCAGCCTCAGCCTCTATCACAAGCGATGTGCATTTGTGTGACTGACTTCCAGCTCCCTGGCTCTTGATTGTGTTTGTCACAAAGGTCTTGGTATGAATACAGAAAGCTGACTCCAGGGCACTTGCAGAAGGCAGGAGGGAAGGCAGCTGAGGATTCCAGCTGACCACATGGGAGCTCACTCAAACTAACTTCACCCAATGAATATAGGTTATTCTAAGTTGGACAACTGGTTCATCTAGCTCTGCATTGCCCACACTGACCAGTACTGACCCCCCAGAGTCTCATACAGGGAACATTCCTAACCCTGCCTGGAGATGCTTTGAACTGGACATTCTGCATGTGAAACAGGTGCTCTACTCCTGAGTTACTGCCCCTCTCTTGACCAGTATGGACTCTCTGAGATCTACCAAAAGCAAAGGGCATGAGTCTACTTCTCTAGAGGAGCTGACTGGGTTGTTCTCATCTGTCTTTGACTTCTGTGAGGCTGGGGAGATGGAGATCTTGTAGGGGAGTCATCCTCCGAGTCTAATGATGGTGGCAGGGTGGTATCTTCCAGGAGTTCTTTACTGACAGTTGACCCATCAAGGAAGCACTCGAGAGTCTTATCCTAACCACGGTTCTCCGCCACACACAGCAGTGGTGGACTTTGGGCTCTCAAAAATTCCAGCGGTGCCCTGTGCAACGCTAAAATTTGGCATCCATCCCCCCACCTCTCACGCTCCATTCTTCAGTGTTGTTTTGGTGCCCCCATCAGCACGGCACGCTGTTTGATCTCTGGTCACGCCACCTAAAACCACCTCTGCACCCAGCAGAGTCCCAGTGTTGAAGGACTGAACACTCAGCAATGTCTATGTAGTCATCGTGTCCATTACATGACCCCTTATTGTTTGGGATTGCTCTATGAAAGAAACATTTGCCAAGTGAAGGGTAACTGCCGTGTAGGGTAGAGCTTCCCTGCTGCCCCCATGAAACATTTTGGGTCTCCCTGGAAGCACCACTTTCATCTCAAAAGACAGACAAACATTCAGCACAGTCTTATTAAAATCACTTTGATTCTTTCCCCCTCCCTTCTCTTCTGTCTGCATGAAAGTCAAAGTCTCATATCTTTATTTGCACTTTGACTTCCATCCCCTCTGGCCCTCTGGTGCATTCTCCCCGCACCCGCTTTCCTTTCCTTATCTGCCAGGGACTGTCTACCTTCAAGGGATGTTCCTCTTTCCTTGTGCCATTGGCTGTCAACCTGCTTAATCACTTGTTCGTCACTGAAGTCAAATATAGTTTATTAAAAATGTATTCTCCCTCAACCCAATTGCCCCTTGGCACTCTTCAGACCTTGATGTCTCTGTTCTTCCGCTAAGGAGCTTTAATGCTGCTTGTTAACCACCTGACGGATGCAGCCACTCACAGCCACCAAGGTTTCCAATTCACACGGATGGTCTCAGAGAGAGCATGCAAAGAGGGAGAGAGAGACCAATGGGTGGCTAGGGACTCATTGCAAGCTGGGGGTGTGGTGGTGGTGCTGCAATCTTGAGCCATAGTGGTAGTGCAGGGAGAAAATAATTGAAGTCATAGAATTGTAGAGTTGGAAGGGACCACTCTTCACCATCTCTGCCTCTTGGCCTCCCTTGTGCTTCTGATTCTGGGCTTCTCCCTGCCACAGGCTCTCCCAGCTGACAAAGCCATGTTATCCCTTCAGCTTCTGACACTTTCTCTTCCTGGTCTTCTCCCTGTGATGACTCAGTGTTGTCCCACCATCAATCCCCAGGTTCTTTGCCTTCTTCGCTTGGTGGTTCCCCAACTGGTTCCTCCCACCATTCCTCTGTGTCCAACCAGTTCATGATATCAGGGCTTCCCCTTCCTCTCTTTGCCCCTTCAGACCCCCACCCACCCACAAAATGTGCTCCAGAGTGCCCCCAAACCATTTGGAGAAGATTTTGAAGGTTGTACAGGAGCCGGAGTGGGGGAAAGTCATAGGACACCAGAAGCTGCCTTATGCAGAGTCAGACCCTTGGTCTATCTAGCTCAGTATTGTACACACTGACTGGCAGTAGCTCTCTGGCGTTTAAGGCAGGGAATCTCCCCCAACCCTGCATGGAGTTGTTGGGAATTGAACCAGGAGCCTTTTGCATTCAAAGCAAGTGATCTACCACTGAGCTACTGTTCTTCTCCATTGTACATGTCCCACTTAGTCAACAGAAGCCTTGGATACAACTTTCAGCTTGAAGGACTAGAGTAATCACATGCAGATTGTAGTAGTGGAGCTGGCAACCCCTTTCCTAAATGCCATCAAAAGGGTAAACCCACCACTCTTCAAAAGAGGTAAGAAAGCAAAATGAGAAAGGGACCTAGCAGTTTAGAGACACAATTCTATCTGCCATAAGAGAGCCAGTGTTGTGTAATGGTTAGAGCACTGGACAATGACCCGGGAGACCAAGGTTCAAATCCCCACTCAGCCATGAAGCTCAGTGGGTGACCTTCGGTCAGTCACTGTCTCTCAGCCTAAACCATGGGTAAGCAAACTAAGGCCCGAGGGCTGGATCTGACCCAATCGCCTTCTAAATCCAGCCCATGGACAGTCCGGGAATCAGCATGTTTTTACATGAGTATAATGTGTCCTTTTATTTAAAATGCATCTCTGGGTTATTTGTGGGGCATAGGAATTCATTCATCCCCCCCCACAAGGTCTGAGGGACAATGGACTGGCCCCCTGCTGAATAGTTTTGCTGACCCCTAGCCTAAACTGTGCCACAGAGTTGTTGTAAGGATAAAATGGGGAGGAGAACCATGTAGGCCACCTTGAACTCCTTGGAAGACAAGGTGATTTATAATAATATAATATAATATAATATAATATAATATAATATAATATAATATAATATAATATAATAATGGAGCCCTGCTGCACCCCAACTGCCTAGAACCTACTTGCCTGGAACCACACTGTTTCCCACAGCAACCAGTATACAACAAAGGTGGAGGATCTATTGCTGTCTAGATGCTGGTCATTGCTGGTGCTGTTGGAGTCCAGCAACATCTGCAGGGTCACAGGTTCCTCAATCCAGACCAATGCACAGTCCCAATCCAGACATGACAGCAATCATCAACTGGTGTTCAGAGACCTACTTCCTCTGATCCTGGAGGTACATCTAAGCAGCCATACCAAGCTTTTTTTAAGAAGAAAAGGACAGAACTGCATGAACCGTCTGAAAGTAAAAAGGGGAGAACAAAACTCGAAAGCTTGTAGCTTGTCTCTGGCTGAAAAATTCCTGCTGAAGCAACTGCTCAGGGTAATCTATCACTGACCACGGATAAATGTGCAAAAGGGAAGGAAAGGAGAAGAAAAGAATGAGGACAAACAGGTGCAAGAGGAGGTGTTGCCAGGCTGGGGATCGAATGATATATGGACTGGGAGGTTGTGTGCCTAATATGCATCTCCATGGGCATGACTGGTGAGTGAACCTCTTATTGAAGGCTGGCTCACTGGAGAACTGCCCAGTCTTCTCCACCATCCACCTCAGTCTAGTGCAGCCCTGTTCACTTCCAAATGGCTTCCTCTTGCCCTTCCAACTCTTTTCATCCAATGGGGAGCTAAGTCTAGAGGACCAGGTGGATGTTGAGGACTGGCTGCCAGAGCTGCCCTTGAGATGGATGGAGGGGGAGATGAGATCCTCCCACACTGTCATAGAGAGAAGGGATAAATTTGCCACAGCTTTGGAAGTGTGTGCATGTGAGGAGATAATGTGACCCCTCAACCTTTTATGGAGACCACAACCCATTAGATGTACTGGGAAACCTAGAAAGCACACTGCGGGCTTCCATTTCAGAGGGACGAAGCTGCATCTCCCATCCAGAGTTGTCCGCACAGAACATCCTCTGTGCAAGAAGGAGCAACTGCTTCAGCGTCTGCAATGAGGAAAGCAGAGCAGAAGGGCTCCTATGGAGCTGAGGGAGGGGCTCGGAGGAAGGGGCTCCAACTGGAAGGGCAGGTGGTCTGTGCAGTTGGCCTGCCAAGGGAGGCAGTGGAGGCCACATGGTGGGGAGTTTCCAAACAACAGTTTGGATAAGCATCTGTCAGGGACTGGCTCCACTTTAGTCATTTTGCCTCCAAGACTGCGTGCGAGAGAGGCGGGAAGGGAGGGAAATTAACAGACTATAGTTAATTGTAGTACTGCTGTTCACACATGTTGAAGGACTTGGAGTAGAGCAAAAGACAGAAAACTGTGTGTTTGTGTGTGTCCATCTCTCTCTGTGTGTGAAGGAGACAATACAGGAATTGTGAGAAGGTAGAATAAGGAGTCCCTGGGGGGAAAGGAGGCGTTCTGGATCTAACAGTATCCTGAAGGAGTTGTGATGACAGCAGCTGCCACCACCACTACTCACAAGAGATTACGAGTCTGGCTAATGTTTGCATGCTCTCTCTCTCTCTCCCTCCCCCATGAGCCCCCCCCCCCCACATACACATCTCTTCTTCGTCTTCTAATTAGAGAGCATTTGGTATGGTTGCGTTCTGAGTAATTCCTCTTGAGAAACAACCAGCTTCAAATTAAAGAACAAAAAAATAAAAATAAAAGTAAAGTACCACGAGGGAATCAGCACAAGAGCAGGAATGATGCAGCTGCCACAAGTCCAGGACGCAACAGGCCACCGCTCTGAACCGCTGCCAACTTCCAAACTGGCTATCAATTTCTCATCTGTCATTGAGACAAGCTACGAGCGCGAAAGTGCGGACTGTGTTGATTACAGAAATGCGCCGTTCCAATATGTGCTGGTGCCTGCAAACCCCTGAACGTTTCCAGAGGAAATAAATTTGCAGCAAAAGGGGCGAGGGGTTAGAATCGCTATATGCTGAAACATCACGCCCAACACAGAATGATTTATCACAACTAAATGCAGGAGGTAATGTTTCCTTATAGAAGTGTATGTCATCTCATGAGATGGGACAGAGGGACAGAGGAAATTCAGCCTGATTTGGGGGGCCTTCAAGTTGTTATGGGGAAAGTACAGTACCAATACAGAAATAAGTTTGGTGTCTGTGAACAGCCCAGGGAGAACAGCTAACTTGTCCTGATCAGCAAACAAAGTCACTTTTGTTTGCATGGACAATGAGAGGCAGTGCCAGGTAGAGAGACCTAGACAGCCACATTCAGCCTCCACACCTGAGGTTCTCTAATAATAATAATAATAATAATAATAATTTATATCCCACCCATCTGGCTGGGTTTCCCCAGCCACTCTGGGTGGCTTCCAGCAGAATATTAAAATACAATGATTCATCAAATATTAAAAACTTCCCTAAATAGGGCTGCCTTCAGATGTCTTCTAAAAGTCAAATAGTTGTTTATTTCCTTGACATCTGATGGGAGGGTGTTCCACAGGGTGGGCGCCACTACCGAGAAGGCCTTCTGCCTGGTTCCCTGCAACCTCACTTCTTGCACTGAGGGAACCGCCAGAAGGCTCTTGGAGCTGGAGCTCAGTGTCTGGGCTGAATGATGGGTGTGGAAATGTTCCTTCAGGTATACTTGGCCGAGACTGTTTAGGGCTTTAAAGCTCAGCACCAACACTTTGAATTGTACTCAGAAAAGTACTGGGAGCCAAAGTAGGTCTTTCAGGACCAGTGTTATATGGTCTTGGCAGCCACTCCCAGTCACCAGTCTAGCTGCCTCATTCTGGATTAGTTGCAGTTTCTGGGTCACCTTTAAAGGTAGCCCAACGCAGAGCACATTGCAATAGTTCAAGCGGACGATGACCAGAACATGCACCACTCTGTGGTCTGTGGGCAGGTAGGGTCTCAGCCTGCGTACCAGATGGAGCTGGTAAACAGCTGCCCTGAACACAGAATTGATCGGCACCTCCATGGACAGCTGTTAGTCCAAAATGACTCCCCATGGAGTAAAGGATTAAACTCTCCCTCCCCACTTATTTATTGATTTAAATTTATATCCCACCTTTTTTCTCCAAGGAGCTTAAGGTAGCATATATGGTTCTCTCTGTTGCCATTTAATCCCCACAACAAACCTGTGAGATACATAAGGCCTGGCCCCAATGCTTCTCTCACAACCAGTTAATGCCATGTCCACTTTGGACTTCAGTCTCTACACATCAACGCTATGGCCACTTTGTGTGTCTGGAGACCCAACTGGTTCTGTCCAATTGGTTCTATACAGATTAAAGGTCATGGGGGTCCCCGATCTACCTTGCCATATTTGAGACCTTTCTGGGGCCTCCATATTTCTTTTGAACTCACAAAACATGAGAGCATATGAGGACACCTTGCAAAAGGAAGTGAAGAAGAGGTATCCTTTCCCTCTAGGTGTAGAGTTGCCCCCCCCCCCCAGCTTCCATCACAGCTCAGTACTGAGAAACAGGGACATACACTGCATACCTCTGAATATACAAGGGGCACATGACGCATCTTTACAGGAGCACCCTGAATAAATGTTCAAAGGCAGGGAGGATCAGATCTTAATCCTGCCTTACACAAAACTTCCCCAGGTATGTTGATTTTAGCCTAATCCTTTAATATTTAAAAGCATTTCCATTCTTGTTTGAAGAGACTTCCTGGCCTCTGGAGAGGGAGAGAGAAATAGAGAATGGCAGGTGTCAGGTAGCGAGTGTTCTTTGCATCTCAGACCCTTGTATTATTATTATTATTATTATTATTATTATTATTATTATTATTAGACAGCTTTCTAGCAAGGGGTGATCCTCTGAAGACTTGTGAGTCATGACCTCTATTGTTGTTATTGTTGTTTGTTTATTTGTTTGTTTGCTGCTTTCTTCCATTTCAAATCCGGCAGATTGTAACAGGAACTTCAAACCGAGCAGGAAACACATAAATTGAGCACGTTCTTCTGCTCCATTTGGGAGTATTAGACAAATGTGTCAGCATTTGTGTTCTGTCCTCTTTCTGCTGGTTCCAACACAGTTACAGAAACTATGGCTTCCATTAATTTTCTAAACTATGGTGTCTTTCCTTCTAAAGAAGCAAGCAGTGAAATACTGTAAATGTGAGCACAAGTTGGGCAGAAAATACGGGAAAGTTTGAGGGATACAGAAGTAAGCTATGGAAACTCTGGCAAATGCCTCGGGTCCACCTCTGCTAGCCCTGGGTCTTAATTCTTGATCCCTCTGTCCCTCCCTGATGATGAACAATGCAAGTTCTCCCTCCCTCAGTGCCAGCTCTGCTCCGCAAACAGTCTGGCAGCCTCACACCTCATTACTTGGCAACAGGTGCAAAGCAATAAATCAAGCAGAGAAAATGCCACTCAGTGGGGACTCCTTGTCTCTGGAGACTCAATATTTTTCTTGATTCCCACATCTGGCCATCAAGAGGAGGCAGGAGGCAGTGTTGCTGTCTGTGGTCCTGATCGAGACTGTCTTGCTACATACTGGGATGAGGAGGCCATCAGCGAGGAGACCCAGGTGAAAATAGCATGCTTTGAGGTAGAGCTGTGAAATGTACCACAGAGATATTGCTTGTAAAAAGAAAAGAAAAGAAAAGAAAATGTTTACAACTGCAAAGAGAGCCTCCTAGTTATGTTCTCCTTTGGCTGCTGGGCTGGCGCTTTCCTTGCAGCGAAATGCATTGTGAGAAGAACAGCCGGGACCTTTCTGTTTCAGGAGCACCGGCATGGTGGGCTGTGGTTTTCATATAAAACTTGCAGATTTCACAGTTCACTTTTCAAATCTGTACAAATCTATGGTGTGACCGCAATTGGAACACTGAGTACAGTTCTGGCTGCCTCATTGCAAAAAGTATATTGTAAAGGTGGGGAAGGTTCAGAAAGGGGCAACCAAAATTATGAAGGAAGGTTACAGAGTTTTGGACTTTTTAGTTTAGCAAAAAGTTGAGTAAGAGGTGACATAATAGAAGTACCGTATTTTTTGCTCTATAAGACTCACTTTTTCCCTCCTAAAAAGTAAGGGGAAATGTGTGTGCGTCTTAAGGAGCGAATGCAGGCTGCACAGCTATCCCAGAAGCCAGAACAGCAAGTGGGATTGCTGCTTTCACTGCACAGCAATCCCTCTTGCTGTTCTGGCTTCTGAGATTCAGAATATATTTTTTTCTTGTTTTCCTCCTCCAAAAACTAGGTGCGTCTTGTGGTCTGGTGCGTCTTATGGAGCGAAAAATACGGTATATAATATAATGCACAGCATGGGGAAAGTGGGTAGAAAAATGCTTCTTCTTTTTACCTCTCTCATAACACAGAAACTCATGGACATCCAATGAAGATTAATGTTGTAAGATTCAGGACAAATAAAAGAAAGTGCTTTTTCACATGACACATAGTTAAACTCTGGAGCTTGCTCCCACAGGAGGGAGTGATGGCCACCAACGCCGATGGCTTTAAAAGGATGTAATGGCTATGCTCTGTGTCCATGTTTGCTTCTGAGTAGTAGTTGCAGGGCAGCCCAGGAAGGAAGAGCTCTCTTGTGCTCAAATCCTGCTTGTAGGTTTCCCACGGGCATCTGGGTGGCCACTGTGAGAACAGAATGCTGAACTAGATGGGCCATTGGCCTGATCCAGAAGGCTACTCTTATATTCTTATGTTCACGGGTAGAGAGGAGCCTTCAAGTCAAACATTGAACAATCCAGTGCAGTAAATCATAGAACTGTAGAGTTGGAAGGGACGCCGAAGGTCATCTGGTCCAACCCCCTGCAATGCAGGACTATGCAAATAATAATAATGAGATGACATACACATCTATAAGGAAATAATAAATTTTATTTATACCCCACCCACCCTGGCCAGAGCTGGGCTCATGGCGGCTAACACCAGTAAAAATTACAGTAAAAACATAATAGGGGGAAAAACCCGATTTAAAATACAGGTTAAAATGCAATTTAAAATGCAGCCTCATTTTAAAATTAGCCCATAGATCACATAAAGGGAGGGAAACATAAAGGTCAGACTGAGTCCAAACCAAAGGCCAGGAGGAACAGCTCTGTCTTGCAGGCCCTGCAGAAAGAAATCAGATCCCACAGGGCCCTGGCCTCATGAGACAGAGCGTTCCACCAGGCTGGAGCCAGTGTTGAGAAGGCCCTGGCCCTGGTTGAGGCTAATGTGACTTCCTTAGGGCCCGGGACCTCTAGAGTGTTGCTATTTATGGACCTTAAGGTCTTCCGCAGGGCATACCAGGAGAGGCGGTCCCGTAGGTACGTGGGTCCTAGGCCGCATAGGGCTTTAAAGGTCAAAACCAGCACCTTAAACCTGACCCTGTACTCTCTTGCTCCGCAGGCTCCAGGGGAGTCTGGTCCAGTAGGGCGAATGTGGCACTGCCCCACCAACCTCAATCTGTCCTCAGCACACACACACACACACACACACACACACACACACACACCATGCCTATCTCCTTACTTACAACCAGTCCAGGTGGCAGCACAAGCCTCCAGCTTCCTCTTCCTTAGCCTCAGCGTTGTGTTAGGCAGGAGAAGCCCACTGACTCTGGTTCCGCCTGTAGCTCACACGGCTGCAATGATGGGAAACTAACACTCTAAAGTGCTCTGTAGGCTAAAATAATTTATAAATCTGGTGACTTCCGGGGTGGCGCCATCGGCAATGGCGGACTCCCTCTGATCTGGAGGGACTAGCTCCACGCGAAACGGGTCTTTTCCGCTACGGCGAAGCGGGGACCCTTTCAAAAATCACAGGCAGATGAAGCCTGTGACCATGGGACTCGGCGGGCACCTTTAGCGCCCCCCCAACCCGCAAAGGAACCCACTAACGGGCTCCGGAGCGAAGAGGGGGAAGTGGCGCGGTGCTGAGAGTCAACTGCTTCTTCCGTGGAGTGAAGCTGCACAGCCGTTGCCAGAGAGCGCTGCCTTTTTCCTGGGACAATTTGCCTCCCAAAATAATCACCCGTGAGTACTTAAATCTCGGACAATTGGACTTTAAATAAGGACTTGCGAGCAGAAAGGAAAATTGGACTTAAAAGTTTATTTCAATTTGGCACAGAAACGGGAAGGTCTAAACAGGAAGTCAGCCTTCCGTTTCTTTGTAGATAGATTGAAGCAAAGACATGGCAAACTAGAGCTCAGAAAATCGCTTGTAAAAGGTTAACTTTCATCATTTAAAATTGTTGAACCCCCTTCGGAAGCAGGAGAAGAGGGGGGATTTTATTTTCGGACTGTTTAAACCTGCAGAAGTGAGTGCAAAATAAAGTAACTTTCCACCGTCTTGATCCTGGAGCAGGGTGTCAGGACTGACGTTTTTTGAAGCTCATTGACCAGAGACAAACGTCTTTGACAGATAGCTAAAAGAAGAGAAACATAGTGATTCCATTGTTCCCCTTCGCATTTTAAAGGAACAAATATTGACAAAATATCTGAAAAAGGAAACTTTGTTGTCAGACTTGTCTTTAAAAGAAAGAACAAAAAGAAGTTTTCCCCCTAGCGGGAGACTGTGAAACTGTAACCAATTTCGGGAAGCTTGCAGCTGTTACTGATTACAATCGTGGGAATAGACTTCTGACCTTGCAGGACAATGTATTCAGAAGCTCTGTTGTGTGCTCTCTGTAAAACAAATGCCCTACTGGAACAGCTACATGAGAAGACGGACTTGATGACTGATGCGATCAGAAATTTTGAACAGGCAGTGGGAAATTATATGGAGCCCACCCAGGAATTAAATCAGGAGTGTGCCCTGACAGAACAGATGAGGGAAAAGGATGTTGCTGAATCTAGGGCGCCAGAGATGGAGGGAGCTGTGGCCCAGCAGGATCATGAGCTTTTGGATTTGACAAATGAACTTGGAAAAAGCCAGATTTGGAAAGATAAAGTTTGGTCTGGTTTGGAAATGGGGTGTTGGATAGACCCCCCAATGCAGGGATGTTTGGACTTTTCAAGTCTGGCAATGGGCCGTGAGATGTTTGGGGTTGTGGGGGCTCTTAATTTTGGAGGGACTTTGAAACATATTCTTAAATACCATATGGAGTTTAGTGTGGACTGTGGAAAATCGAGAAGGGTCAAAAACATTGTTAAGCTGGAGTTCCCACGAGTGAAAGGAGCAGGAGACAAAGGAAAATACAGCTATAAATATGAAGAAGAGCCGCGGAAGGGACATGGAAGAGACTTAAGGGCCTCGGATACAAGATTACCAGGTTAATGCGCTAGATTGATGGGATAAAAAGGACTGACAAAACCCGGGACCAGGAGGAAGGGACGTTGGATGAAGATTGGATTGGTTTTATTATTATTATTATTATTATTATTATTATTAGGATTGTCTTATAAAATTGATGAATGTTAGAAAAATGTTGGAATGAAATTACTCGGCTTTAGCAAAAATGTTTAAAGAATTATGTAAGAATATTATGGTTATGAGAAGTTGGTAAAAATAAGACTTAAGTTTTAAGCTTTAAGGTTTTTTATAGTAAGATAAGATTAAAATAGATTAAGGTAATGTAATGACAGAATATTATGAAATATGGAAAGGATTTGCTGCGACAATTAACAACCAGGATACAAAAAAAGGGAGGAGGAGGAGGTCAAAGAAAGAAGGTAATGACAGTTAAGGATTTGAGAATGATGGATTTGTTTTTGAGTGTTTGTGGTGTATTTTTGTTTTTTGAACTTGTATTGTTTGATGTGGTTTGTTTTTTCTGTTTTTTTCTTTTTTTTCTGCTTTGTTCTCTTTTGTAATTCTAAAAATTTTTCAATAAATATCATTTAAAAAATAATAATAATAATTTATAAATCTGCCTTTCATTTTGCCCTTTTCCAAAGGTCAGAGTGGTTTATTAATACCAGTATCGTGAATTAATATTGGTGGAAGATGTGGCTTGATATGGTGGAGGAACAGGTACCATCTCACTTCAGTTTTAATTCTATATTATTATTTGCTTCTGATGGAGATAGATACAAGGCTGGAATCGGATCATAGCAACTGAGTGTCTCATTGCTAATTTTATTAATCTGACCTGGCAACGCTCACAGTTCCCTTCTCAATGTCCTTTGCTTCTGTGAAGGTATGTTTCTCCTGGCTGTAAGTCTATGTGATCTCTGGAGTTGCTTCAAACTGCTTCGTCTGAGCAACAAAACTAGGAAGGCTTTAAAATGCTGGAAGGTGGCATTTTCCTTTGTGAACAGATCAACTTTTCTCCCCTCCACCAGTCTTCTCCTGCCTCCTCCTCCTCCTCCTCCCCACCAGCGTTCAGATGTGGATACCCTCTCTCAAAATGCAATAAATCTTTCACTTTCAAATCTTAGATTCATTAAAAGTAGCCCAGGAGGAAGGAATAATAAGGTGCCACTTTACAGCCCAAATAAAACACAGAAAGAGGCAGTCCATAATATGAATTTCAGGCTTTGGCTGAAGATAATTCATGCATCATTTTCAGATAAGAAACAAAAATGGAGCTGCGTCAGCACATTGGCTGAAAAATAACTTTTTGTATTATGTTATGCCTTTCGGTAATGGGCCCAGGTTACCATATATCACCGGTAGCTCCAGCTTTCTGCTTCCCCATCCCCCTTGGCTACTGTCACAGTAATATCCTCCATGAACGGCATCACCTGTAGACTGAGCAAAAGGGGAAGAGCTTTGGGAAAGGACGGGGGTTCAGCAAAGGAAGCGAAGCTAAAAGCAGCAATTTCTCTGAGCTTCATGTAAAGGTCAACATTCATTAGCAATAAATAAAGGGGGGGGGTGGCTGGCTCACATAGCTGCAGTGGGGTCTGCAAAAGGTCTGTTCTTTTTCCCTATCCCAGCCATTTTCAAAAATTTCCTTTTTCCACAATAGCACTCTCATGATGGAACTCCGTCCTGAAATATGGCAAGAATCTTTTGACACAAGTTAAAACCCTTGTTATTGTCCCAGGCTTTTAGGGGAGATATTTTATTGGAGGTACTTCCTGCTGTGCTTTTGTTGGAGGAAAACGTTGCTTTTTGCTGCTGTGTTTTGTGTGTGCTGGGGGCTTGAATTCAACTGATGTGGGTTGTTTTGTACCATGTTTTACTGGAAATGGTTTATCACAGCATTTTAAACAGCCCCTCCCTGCTCAGGAATTACAGCAGTGGTGGTGAAGGGTGGGATATAAATTTAATTAATAAATACAATAACCATAATGGGTTGTATCCAATGCTTGTCCTGCTCAGAGTAGACCCATTGAAGTTCATGGACATGACTAACGTATGTTCATGAATTTCAATGGGTCTAACTCTGAGGAGAACTTGGTTGGAATACAACCCAATAGAAACATTTGTAGAAATACCCCTCCCTATTTCATTCTACCTGTGTTTTACAATGCACAGGATGGGGGTCTTCTCATTGTCCCATTTCTGGGCAAATTATGCTGTGCAGTGAGGTGGAACAGGACCCTCTCTGTGTTGGCACCCCATCTATGGAATGCCCCCCTAGACCTCTTTGCTCAGACCTTAATGCAATGCAACACAACTAACTGATGGATTGTCTGCAGTTTTATTTGAGGTATTAATTTTTATTTGAAACCTTTATTGCAACGGTTGCGTGTGTGCTCTGCTATGTACGTTTTCTGCTGTTATCTGCCATGGAACTGTGAATTGATGAAGGTTGGGCTTGATACTGAAGCAATATATCAAAAATATTCACTTGGTTAGCCAAAAAAAAATGTAAAAAATGTAATGTATTCAAACATCAGCCATACAGTATGTTCCCTAGAGGGACCACTTTTAAAAAAATCAAACAACCTGGCTTTTTCCTTTTTTTTGCCATCCGTGTCACCTGCTAGCTTTATCTGGGAATAAATTTAATTTTGTCAAGTGCTGGAGAGCAAAGGTAGCAGAACTGATCCCACCCCAAGCGCTCATCTGTCATAAGGAGCGACTTCCTTACTAATAAAGTGACCTTGTGTAAATAGCTCAACTTGGCAGAGTTGCTGCACCTCTGGTGTAGAACACGCGTTGATAGACGGAGACCACATGGGCTGCCAGTCCAAGATGAACTATCAGACACGCACACAGAGAGAGTTAGTTGCGACTTTGTCAAGTTCCTTTAGCTTTTGAAGGCAGAGGATGCCGGTGACTAAGGGGTCTTGGTGAACAATCACTCCTGCCGCTTGTCGATACTGCAGCAGCCAGTTGCTCCTGCATATTCCGAGCAGGAAAAGAAATTGTCATGGCAGTCTCCTACCTCCTATCAAATTATGCCCCGTCCTCCATTAGAATGAAACCTGATCTCACTGTGCCATCTCCACATTCAAGGAGATCACCTGAATAACTTCAAGGGCAGGGAGTATATGCAGAATTATCCTGTTTGCACCTGGCTATAGAGCTGCGGTCAGTACCTTATTACATGCAAATCAATGCAAACCATAACACGAATTAGCAAGTATATTTGGAAACCAAGGGGGGTGAGAAATAAGATACAAAAAGTTGTCTAGGTTGTCCTCAGCCAATTCAACAGAGGACGTGGTACATTTCTAAGTTTTCCTAGGAAAATGAAGTGTAAAGGGATTAGGGTATAGCTTTGTCAGTTGTGCTCTCTCTGCTAGTACTGTGGTTTCTTTCCTTATGGAATATTTGAACTCAAGGGAGGCCCTTGTCCAAATAAAGCCCTTTAACTACCCCTGCTCCCAAGGGCCGCCTCTCCTGGTATGCCCTACGGAGGACCTTATTGTCTACATATAACAACACCCTGCAGATCCCGAGCCCCAGGGAGATTAGACTGGCCTCAACCAGAGCCAGGGCCTTTTTGGTTGTGGCCCCGGCCTGGTGGAACGCTCTCTCACAAGAGACCAGGGCCCTGCAAGATTTGACATCTTTTCACAGGGCCTGCAAGACAGAACTGTTCCGCCAGGCCTTTGGCCAGGGTTCAGTCTGACTCATTTTCTCTTTGTATGAACGAGTACAAAGGAGGTTCCCCAGCCCACTCACATGTCCTTATAATATCAGTGGAAATAGTTGGTCCTGGCGAGTATTAACCACTTTCAGTTTGTCATTTGTCAGGATGGCCATTTGTCCAGTCCAATTTTAATTTCTCTGAATTAATTTTGGGATGCATTTTAATCAATTGTTTGTTTGTTTTCATGTATATTGTGTTTTATATAATGTTAGCCGCTCTGAGCCCAGCTCCGGTGGGGAGGGCGGGATACAAATATTATTATTATTATTATTATTATTATTATTATAATGAAAAAAGAAATGCAAATGCTGTCGGTAGGTACCTTTGCTATGCTTGGACGCATTTGGTGAGCTCTGCCACAATATCCGTAGTAAACAAACAAACCCCTCTGTTGCAGAGTTCAGAGTTGGACATCAGAATTGGACATTTGCTGATTATACAAAGCTTCACAGCTTGCTCTCCACCAGGTAAAGTCTGGCACCGTGATTTATTTAAGGACATTTATTTAAGAGACTTTCAGAGACTTCAGTTAGTTAGTTTTGATGTTTTGAATTATTCCATAAAGTTTTTCACATTGTTATTGTTTCTGGCCATCGTGTTGCTTTTGATATTGCTGACAATATCCGTAGTAGCAGCAGTGATACTGGGTCTGTGCGCCCATTACCAGCTTAAAATGCATGTTCTTTTTCTCAGTTTGGATCGAAACTGGCTTGGGGAAAATGGCATCCGCCTGCAGTATTTCATAAGAAATGACAGGATAGATATGGATTGTGGCTAATACTGTGAGTGCGCCTCTTCCCAAACCAGCTGTGTGAGTGGCAGGACTGTGACCTAATTTAAGAAAAGTTAGTGGATTAATTTGTTTGAGACTTAGTTGACTACATTTTCACAAATTTGCTTAGGGGTGAAAACAATATGGGTTTTTTTAAAAAAATTAAGTTTTAAATTTCATTTTCAGGTGTAATGATCAAATAAAACAACAACAAAATCCACACCTGAACAGAACCATCCCATAAGGTCCTAAAAACGGGGGCAATTCTTTCATGCTCCACCTAAAGTAGTATAATTACCAAGTACAGAAGACAAAACCTCAAGACATATCATCCATGTCAAAATAATAATGCACCAATCCAAAATTTCATCTGGGAAGAGTGTGGTTCATCAGCTGCTGATTCCTTATTTGCGTGTACAGTAAACTGGTGTCAGGTCGTGACAAATCCTGCTTCTCCAACTGCTCAAGCAATCAGATTTTGTGCATAGCTCTTCGGCCAGGGCTATCTGCCAAGTCTGTTCAATCCATCCCTCACAGTTAAACCTTTAGACACTTTCCAATAACACACAGTTTCCATTCTGGCTGCAGCTGATAAGAGGTGCACGAGCTCTCTAAAAACAGTAGCTCCAAAGCACTTTCTTTTCGATCACGCTGCTGTGTATCCTAGCAGGTACACTCTTAAGACGAGGAACTCCATGGGTGGGTGGTGCTTCTGAATCTCAGGAGGATACAGTTAGACACTGCTCACATATTCATCAGAGTAACCAGCAAAATGGATATATTAACAGCTGAAGGAGAGAGGAGCAGAAGAAGGAGAAAGCCCAAACATGTTGCTTTGAGACTTTAACAACTCTGTGTCATTGTTTTGCAGCCCAATTAACTGTTTGGCCAATTACAAGCTTTTAAAATGGATTCCTATAGCCAGTTAACTGACTGCACGTTGCAGCCCTACTAAACAGTTGTGTACTGTGCATAGGTACACAGAGAAGGAGCGTCCTAGTTAAGGGCTTCTCGGTTCTGAAACATCACATGTACTCCCAGCTAATCCAGCAATCCATTATTTATATGTAGCCTAATTAAGGTTGTGAGTAGCTTGATCTTTGTTTACTTAAGTCTACTGCGGAAGATTGCCAAGATTAAATGAAATTATCTCCAGGCAGGCCAGCGAGCTGGAGCTGCGAGCTACTTTGAGGGGATGAGGGAGTCCTCTCTCTCACTTCTTCAGATGACGGTCACGGCTGCAGCCTTCCTCCAGCCCACCACCACCACCCATGATGCTGCCAATTCAAGCTTATCTAATAAAGATCCAGATCAAGTAGACCAAATGAAAGGCACTGAAGTCTGAAAGCAACTAATCGAATTGGATTAGCTCTTTTCAGCGTCTAATTTTACCTTTCACTTGTAAAACCTCTGAATCCATTCTTGTTTAGATACTGAATTTGTTCATTTAATGAAACACAGAGACAGGGGAGAGAATATTTTTCTTCTTCTTCTTCAATATGCAGCAAAATAGAATTCAGGCAAATTAGAAATACAACATTTGACGGGGAGATGTGGTATGAGTCCCACCCACTCCTTTTTAGGACCAGCTTTGACAGAGAAAAGTGTTTGAGTTAGCATACATGTTCAGTCCTCAGAAACCATAGTGCCCAACGTGTAGCTCAGATGAGAGATGAGAGAGGAAGGAAGGATATTTCATGGCACATTAAAGAACCAACGGTGGTGCAGTGGTTAGAGTGTCAGACTAAGACCTGGGAGACCAGCCTTCGAATCTCCATTGGCCATGAAGCTCACTGTGTGTCCTGGGGCCAGTCACTGCCTTTCAGCCTAACCTACCTCACAGGGTTGTTGTGGAGACTAAATGAGGGGTGAACTAGGTACGCCACCTTGAGCTCATTTATATTACATATAAATGTAATAAATAAATAATACATAAACAGTCTATACAGCAGTATTACAACACTGCTGTAGAGGGTGCAAAAAGCACCACGGTACTCATATTTATTTCAAGGGTTTGTACATTTATTCATTCACTCATTTATTTATTTATTTGAACGGAGGGTTGAGGTGGGCAGACATGACCTTCCAAGCCTCTTTCTCTGGTCATTGGGACGAAGAGACAAGCAGAAAAGTTAGCTCTTTGGTCAAGAAAACAGCATGCCAGGCAGCAATGCCTAGAAACAGAACTGGCTTCTATGAAACAGTGGCCAGGTCTGAAGGTCTTCGCCTCCTACTTCCCCCTAAGTCTCCTCCCCTGCCAGATGTTTTCCAAGCAGCCTCCAGCAATGCGGGGAGTGGGAAGGAATCTGTGCCTGTTGTTCTGCTACAGGCATAGCCCTCCTTGTCCTTGGAGACAGCGGGGGATGGGAGCTTAGCACAGTAGGAGCAGCAATCTTCATCAGCTTAGTCTGAACTGCTTTCTGCACTTGGCTCCCCTTGCTCACGGGAGCCTGTTGCCTCCTCAGCATCCAACCGTTCCTCTCCTCCTTCCCACTCTGACCTGATACTTACTGTACAAAGGTAATATTTACAATCAATGGTCCGCCCACTTCTGCCTCTGGCCACTCCCACCCCTGGCACATGGCCCCTGGCATGTGGCTCTCTGGGTGAAAATGTTTATTCCCTACCAGTTTAAAACCATGCTTGCTTGTCAATTAGATTTTGACCCCAACCTTTCCTCCAGGATGCTCAGAGGGCAGCATACATAACTCTTTCCCCATTTTATACTGACCTTGTGAGTTGGCTTAGATAAGACCCAGACTGCAGGTTAGCCCCCCCCTCCCCCGCATATACAGTACCTAGCTAAATGGACCGGTGCTCTGACTCGGTATAAGGCAGTTTCCTACGCATTCCTGGAAATGACACAGATGATCTTTATCCTTGCAGATTTACAGTTAAGTTTCTCTCTGCCAAAGCCTTTCCTCCTCAAGGAGGGGAGGAGTTGTGAGCGGGAGCTGTTTCCTGCGTTGGCAGGGGGCGTTTTGCTTTCAGTTGTATTTGCATCAACAGGCTCCTCCCACTGGTGGTTACCCCTTGATAGACTCACCCCTCCCTAAGGGGGTGGAGTCACGCTTTGTTGTTTTATCCAATGCCTAAGCCAAAACGTCTCACATGCTGTAATCAATAAAGTTGTGGCCTTTTTAGCCCATTAACCTAATATACCGTGTCCATATGTCTTTCTTATCCTCAAGTGGGTGGCGGGTCCTTGAATCACAAATATTTGCTGGGGTTGGATATGAATCACAGGTGCTGACTCCTTGGGGCCATGGCAGTTTGAGACCCCCAAATATTTTTTGAGGGGGGAGGTCAGGCCCTCTCAATATGCAGAGAACATTGCGCAACATCATGTGTGCGATGTCAGAACATTGTGCTATGTCACACACACACACACCCCTCCCCCAGAGCCTCTGGAGAAGCTGGTGCCTCTGATATGAATCAGCCCTCCAGCCCCTTTTTTGCCTTATAAATGCATTCTGCAGTGAACAACTTGGGACCCCATCATCACTCGGCCTTCAAAGAACCCTCCCACCCTCTGTGTTCTAAGCACTCCGCAAATTGGTCTGTTTGTGCTTGTTTAAAATATAAACATCGCTAGACTTAAACACACACACACATATGCACAAGAAACGAAATATATATGTGGTGGCACATTTCATGAAAGCTCTAATGAATTCTGGATAGAAGAATATGCTTTCCCACATAGGGTGCTGAAAGAAAAGCAGATGTGAAGAAATTGGATTCCTCTGACTGTGTCTTCTTCTTCTTCTTCTTTCCCCCTTCTCTCTCCCCCACCCCGCCTTTTGGCAGATTATTCAAGGCAAAGACAAATATTTTATCAAAGAGTTATGGAAATAAACACGATTATAGCTCAAGGGCGCAAGTGGATTTCTGGAATATTTTTCCATGCACAGTTAATAGGGGAAGCTGGCAGGAGGAAGAGTGTCATAGTATACCCAACAAAGCTAATTTTATTGTGCCAAAGCTGCGTTGGGAACCAGAGCATCATGTTAAGCAACATTAGCCAGCAGACAGAAGGAGGAAGAGGTTGTAGAGGGGGAGGCGATAAAATGGTGAAACTTAAAAGCATGAAACTAGAGAAGACCATTTGTTCCCCTTTGCTCAGTTCTGAGTACATCAAATCCTGGTAAGGGCTAATCAAACTTTCTCTGAGGTGTGCATAGCTAACGAAGCATTAATACATTGCTTCTCTGCTTGAATGCACTTGAGGTGCAGTCATTTAAAAACTTTTATTTAAATGTACTTGTTTAAAAAGCTTATATCCCACTCCTCCCCTACCCCACCCAATGGATTCAGTGTAGCCTACAATGTTGTTTTTGGCATCTGTCTGTCTTGGGAGACAATGGAGGAGTGAGCCTTTTGGGGTGAAGTCAAACTGTTGGAAGGTTGCAGCGCTTGGTGTGGCTGTAGAGATTAATATCGGAGAGACAAGTTACGTTGCAGTTGGGGCAGATGAAGGTGTCCGGTTATGCTGCTGCAGATGTACAACGGCATTTCTTCTCTCTGTGCTCCTCCCAGCAGTCATTTCTCCTCTGAACTGACACAATGCTCCCAACCTTGCTTGCAAATTGGAATACAACTCGTACTCAATTCACACACTTCTCCTGCATTTTATGCAAAAGATACATATATATTGCATATTTTACTGGTGAATGTGCTGGGAAGCATTGAGAATGTTGCATTTTACATCATATAAAGTGTTCCACAAAACACATTCAAAATGTGTATGCAAATGTGTGCACTGGAAGAAAACAGGATGGAACAGATCTAGTACTGAATGCCATTGAGACTGAAAATGGACAGCATTAGCTGCTCAGATCCTGGTGGGTCTCAAGTGGGTTCCTCAAGTGGGTTCCACTACCCAAATGGACATGGTCCTAGAAGCCATCCACTTTACCACTCAATGATCAAGAATTGTGGGAATATGTGGACTGGAGTATGTAGGAAAGAGCAGGTGGAAAATGATATTCCTTAAGGTATCCAGGTCCTAGGGATGATGAGAGATGGAGTCTAAAACATATGGAAGGTACAAGGTTGGGGGAGGCTGCTTTAAACCATCTTGAAAACCCTTCCTGGCAGGGAAGATGGGCCAGCAGACCACCTTTTATCTGTTTCATAAGATGCCCATTGTGCAACACAGAAAGACCTTGACCAAAAGAACTTGGCTTTTGCATTGTCATGGCATTTTTCATCATAATGGGTGTATTTAGTAGGAAGGGACAGGGAAAGCTTTTTGAACTCCACAAGACAAATTGTGAACCAAGTTAATAGGCGCCAGAGTCTTAAATCACTGGCTGGCCAGCCAGTAGGTTAGCAGCTTTCAAAACTTTCTGAACTGAAGGAAACATCTGGAGGTGGCACCATTTGTTCTGGACGTTGCTTCTATGAATGATGCACTAAGACAATTTTCTGCCTTATCATAAATTCTGCAAACTCATGAACTTTGCAATCTCTCAAGCTCGGCACTATCTGGGAACCACTTATCTTGTGCTGAAAGCAATATAAAAACAGATGGCAAAGACGGCGTCGAGTGATAAATCAATGGCACTCCTGCCACTTGGTCTGTGGACATGTCTGAGACTCCCAAGTTGAGACAAAAGCACATTCAAGCTGGTAGAAGGGTATAGGAGTAGGTGGCGTGGGTGGGAAAGGGGAGAGACAGGCTCCTGAGGGTGCA